GAGGTGTGGCGAGTGAAAACAAAACAAAAACAAACGGCGCCGGTGCGAGGAGGAGGGAGGGGGCGCGGCATCGCAGCGAGAGTCGCAAGTCCATCGGCCGCGTCGCCCCAACCGCACACACACACTGGCACACACTGGCCCACCGACACACACACAGAGAGAGAGAGAGAGAAGCTGAAGCAGAAGGAGGAAAAAAAAGGAGGTTGTTGTCGTGGAGAAGCGGCCGAGCTACGTGCATACATGCAAAGGCAAACAACAACAATAACAAAACAAAAAAAAGGAGGAGGAAGAAAGCACGGGAGCAAGTCGCACACTTGCAGCACGAGGACTTCTCTAAATTTCCGTCTCAAGTTGGCGGGCAGGCGGCTGCGGGCCGCGGCTCCCTCCCGCTTCCGCAGCCGCAGCCGCAGCGGGGGGAGACACACCAAACAAACAAACAAAAGTACATCACAACAAAAAAACAAAAAAAATTGGTGGCATCCCTCAGAGCCCCTACACGTCCAATCGCAAAGCGCAAACGCGGAACCTAAAAACGGCGAAAGAAACATAACGGCGTGCAAAATAGAAGATGTATAATTTTCTAAGAAAAAAAAAAGGCACACAACCACAACGAGAATAAAAGTAAGCACCAAACAACAAAAACAAAAACAAAAAGCAGAAAGTCAGTAATAGGAACAAGAACTACAGTATCAAGAGCAACGAAGACCGTCCTCCGAGGCACACTCAAGGCGTCGCGGGGTGTGGTGGTTTGGTGGTGTCAAAGTGGAAAAACGTGCTGGGGCGAGACCGCGGCTCGGTCGCCACAAGGACGAGGCTTAGATCGGCCGCCGCCGCCGCCGGGAGCGGGCGTCCCCTTCACACGCTTCAGCGCACGGGGCGAGCGGGAGGAGACGGACGTCGTCCCCGTCTCCGCGCTCCGCGGAGCTACCGCCCGTGCAAACGTCACCGACTCCCTGCCGCGGGCTGTGACGACGAACGTCCTGTGGCGCGGCCGCCGCGCTTTGGCTGTCGGGGCCGGGGCGCTTTCGGGCGGCGCACCCGCCCCCTTAGACGGGGAGCACAACTCAACGAACTCCGGCACCTCGCCCCCGCCGGCGCCGAGCAGGCACGAGGCGGAGTGCTCCAAGAAGCGCGCTGCGAAGTCGCCTGGAGGTCTACCGCCTGCACTTGCGTGACGCTGCCGCCACAGCTGGGCAATGGACTTCGGCGACACCTCCGTCGCCGCAGCTCCGCCGCCGCGTGGCCGTCGTCGCCGTGAGGGCGGCGTCGTCGCCTCATTCGTGCTTATCGAATTATCACAGCTAAGCAGCGGGGCATTGAGTCCGCTGGTGCCGCGCGCAATGCACTGCGCGTCGTCCTGCTCCTCAGAAGCGTCCGAACCCCCCGAGGCTCCGCGTGCCCCGTCGCGAAAACGCCGCCTCTCTAACGGCACCACGGCAGAAAGCAAATTGGATGCCGGTTGTGCGGTGCTCGCCTGGCTAACACTGTGCGGGTACAATATCGCGTGCTGCTGGGAAAGCGGGCCACCGTTTATTCCCACGTGGCCGTGGCCATGCCTTGAGAAACGCGAGGCACATGTTGGGGGAGGCGTCCCTCCTGCTGCGCCCGTGGGCGCTGTTGTTGTTGCCGTCAAGGAGGGTGTTGGCTTTGTGCGCCGTGCGGGGGAGGGGCTCTCCGGCGTGCGTCGCTCCATGTTACCACGCCGTACCGCTGAATGCCCCGAGTGGAGCCTTTTGTACGGTTGTGCGCCGGGCACTGCAGCCGCTGCGGGTGGCTGCGGGAATATCGTGGGCGTCGATGCCGCCAGTGGCGACTGCGTGGGAGACGCCGGCTCCCCCGTCGCCGTCGCCGAGGTTCGGCTGGAGGTGACATGCTGCGCGGGCGTGGAGGCGTGACATGGCGCCTCATCGCATGGCTTCCGCTCCGACGACGCATCGGCGAGTCGCGTGGGAGACGTTGTCGTGCGCGCCGTCACATTTGCCGCGGTGGCCACCTTCGCGGCGGCGCCCGCCACGCCCGTTGAGCCGCCGCCGCCGCCGCCGGCCCTGGTATGTCTTCCCGCGTCCTCAGCCGTGCCCCTGCCATGCCGCAGCAGCGCAGCTTCGCTTTTACCGGAGCTTCGCACCACCACCAACTTGCGCCGTCGGCGGTGCACGCTGCCGTCGTCCTTCTCTGCAGCCGCATCCGGCGCGGGGCGGGCGCGGCCGAGCGTGGGGAACGCCATGTTTGCCCCAGCGAACTGCATCATGGCCTCCTCGCAGCGGTGGCGGGAGAGGTTGCGGGCCCACGCCGCTAGGTTGTTGCGCCGCTGCGGCAACGCAGTGGAGCGGGGCGTGTGTTTCAGCAGCACCCGCGGCGTGGACCCGGGTGTCTTCTTGCGCGACCGCAGGGCCTGATCGAGGCGGAGGGGGCTGAGGCTGACGTCGCGCGCGCCTGCGGCGGGGTTCGGCGTGCCGGGGGAGGCAGCCGTGCCCCCCTCCTCGGCAGTTGCCGCCGCGTCTCCCTCGGCGCTCTGCAGAGGCGACAGGAAAACGTGCGTCGCCGGCGCCCCCTGGGCTGGAGTGTGTTGCAGAGGCCCCGCGGCATCCGTGTCGCCCGCGCCGCCGAGGTGCCCCAGCGGCCTCGCCTCGCCCGCGCCGCCAAGCTCCGTGGGGGCGGCACTCGTTTGCCTCCCTCGCCCCGTCGAGAACCCCGCAAAGGGCAAGGGCACAAGCGACACGTCACTGCCGTCACTCCCCCCGCCATCACTGCTCCTACTGGTGCCGTCGCCCTTGCCGCTCGGCTTCCCCCCTGCCGCTTCCGCCGGCGCTGCGTGTGCAACGAGCTGCACCTCCTCCGGCGCCGACTTCGGCGCACTTGCGGCCCCCGCCCCCCACCCGCATGATCGTCGTGCGCCTGACTCGGGCTGCTGCAAGCAGCCGTGTCTTTGACGACTGACGCCTCCCGCGGCTCCGCGCCCGCCTCTCCGCGGCGCCGCCGTCGTCGACCGGCGGGGCTGCCGCCGCTCTCACTCGTCTCGCTCTCCATCCACGAGGCCTCCAGCGGGTTGAGGTTGGCCTCGGAAGAGAGGAGGCTCTGCAGCTCACGCTCCTCCAGCGCCTCGTGGTTGCTGACGCGGATCCGCTCCAACTCCCGCAGCCGCGAGAACATGTCCCACCGCCCAGCCCGCCCGCGCTTAGGCCGCTTGGGGGCGGCACGGGCGCCGTGGCCCCGCGAGCTCCGCCACCGCGACGGCGAGGGCTCAAAGAGACGCTGGTGCAGCTGCCACCGCGTCATCAAGGCCTCCCCGCCGCCCTCCTCCTCGCCGATGCTGATGCTGCTGAACTCCTCCCCACTGAAATCGGCGTGGAGCGGCTCCTCGTCGGAGATGCGGACCTCGTCGCCACTCATGGAAACTTCTAGCGGGACATTTCGCCGCGGCACCGTTGGGGGCCGACGCATCGTCTGCACAGGCGGCACACGTGAGAAGGGGGGCGCCCTCGTCGCTTCGCCCCGCTCCTGCCCCGTGGGCACGTGCGCCGCCGAGTCCGTGCTCACGGAGTGCGCCAGTAAGAAGTCGCTGGTGCCGCTTGCGTTGCGCGCAGAGGCCGGCCCCGGCACTCGGTGGGAGGGGCTGGAGTTGAGGGAGCACTTCGGGGTCCGATTGAAGCTCAGGTCGATGACGCCGGACGCGCTCCAGGGGTGCCCCGCCGCGGCCCCCGCTTCCCCCACACCGCGCGTAAGCGGAGACGGCGAAATTGCCAGGGGCACGGAGTCAGACGACGAGGCGTCGGTGCCCGGCTGCTGGACTGACAGCTGCAATGGGGTAGAGGTCCCCATCGGCGCAAGGCCCTCGCGTCGGGGCAGCAGTGCAAAAGTGGGGCTTTCCATAAGCGCGGACAGTGGCCGGGAGAGGGGGGAGATGGAGACGCTTGGGATGCTGTCGAGCCGTACCATGGGTGACTTCAAGGGCACGAGCAAGCCTGTTCCCACCGGTGTTGGGAAGGGAGAAAGCAATTGGCACGGCGTCGCCGCGGCATCAAAGACGAGGCAATTAAGACTTGGCTGCAGCGTGATGACGTCTTGGGCGTCGTCCGCCGCCACGCCGGACACGGACTCCTGAGGCTCCTCGCACTGGCGCCGTTGCGGCTCCCGCTGCTGCGCCTGTGCCAGCACCTGCCGCTGCTCCTCGCACGTCATCTCGCACGAGGACACCGGCGCCGCGGCGAAGGGCCGGCAGCCCGTGACGGAGCGCGTCCGTGGCGTCGCAGCGAGCGACGTCGCTTCATCCACGGCCAGCACGGCGTCCGCAAGCTCCTCCCGCGACCGCTGGTGCTGATGGGGGCGGTGCCACTGCTCCTCGTCGCGCGGCTGACTGCAGGACGATTCCTGCTCCGGGGATGACGCCTCTAGAAGCGCCCGCGACGCCGCCGCCAACGAGCTCTGCCGCGAGACGCAGGCGTCGACCTCGCGAAAGGAGGTCTCCTGGCGCTGCAGCACCCTCCCCATCTGCTCGCAGACGGAGCGCAGGGCCGTCAGCGGAAGCGCCTCCTGCTGCTGCTGCTGCTGCCGCGGCCGCACCGCCGCCGCCTCATCGCACGCGAGGATGGCGGGCAGCCCAACGCACGACGGCGCCTCCGGCGTGACGGGCGTCACGGGGGAGAGGGAGAGGGAGAGGGACGGCGACGTGGGCCCCGCCTGGCCGCGCGTCTGCTCCGCCATCACCCGCCGCCTGCCGCGCCGCGAACCTCCGCTAGCAAAAGAAAAAAAGGAGGAAGCGTCTACTTCGCCCCGGACGGCGGTGACGCGCAACACCTGCAGTCGAGCTTCCCGCCGCTCCTCTCTCTGTGTGTGTGTGTGTTGTGTGTTTGTGTGTTGTTGTGTGTGTGCGTCTGCCTGTGTACGTGGCAGACTGCCTGAGAGGACGAGTGTGAGCCTCACGGCTTGCTACGCCATTGCCCGCCCATAAGTAAGCCATGAGATAATAATAAAAAAACAACAACATTCGGCAATGCAGAGCAGTGAGTAGCGCACACAGACCACAGGCACGCACGCAAAGCGTACGCGCACAGAGACTCAGCGAGAGCGGAAAACAGAAGGAAAGACGTGAGCTTCACCCAAACATATACGCCTGCGTGTGTGTGTGTGTGTGTGTGTGTGAGAGCGTGTATGTCAGCGGCATCCAACCCCTACTCGCACGCACGCACGCAGGTCCGCGCAACTGCCTCCCACTACTTCTCCCCTCACTCCGTGGAGACGCGGTGACGACTGAGGCGCATCAGTCGGCCGTCCAGGCGGTTGTTGCGGCGGTACAGGGGAAACATGCGGCTCCGCGAGCAACTCAGTGAGCCCGGGCGGCTCACGCGGCCCTGCTCCGCCGGGTAGTGTTGGCCCCGCACGGCGAAGGTGTAATGCAGCGGCTTGTACAGCGCGGCGACGTAGGCGGGGTCGAGCCCGAGGGCAGCCGCCGCCTC